TTCTTTAAGAACCTATGCTGATTTCTCTGACTTAGACCAAGGAGACTACAACAGATTAAAAAAAAAAAAAAAAAAAAGCTAGGCTCACACCTGTCATCCTAACTACACAGGAGGCTAAGGTCTGAGGACCATGATTCAAAGGGGTAGGGAAGTCTGAGTCTCTTATCTCCAATTAACCACCCCAAACAAAGTGGCACTGTGGCTCAAGTGGCAGACCATTAGCCTTGAGAGCTCAGGGACAGTACCCAGACCCTAGTTCAAGCCCCACAACCAACACACACACACACACACACACACACACACACACACACACCCTGATGATGGGCAGACAAGGCTGACAGTAGTTCTCCAGATAGTCTTGTACCAAAATTCCATGGTCAGCACCAATGTATAGTCACTGATTTCAGGGACATTCTGTAATCTAAATCAAGTCTATTCCAACCTTCCTATTACTGAGAGAAAGCAGCCTGCTGATCATCTCTCCCCAATAAGAGTTCAAAAGCGTGTTTGCAGGTCATGTCAGTACTCCATGTAGGGCTGCAGCGGCCCAAAATGGTTTGGCGCTGTTCATACAGTAAACTTGGCCTGAAGCACGTGTCAAAAGACATCAAAACTAAGGGGTTTAGAGATCTGTAGTGACTACCATAGGCAAATCCCTTCTCCTTATCAAGAGAGATTGTGTTCACTTCAGAACCAGGAGAAATCTGGTGTGTGTGGGGGGGGGGGGGGGGGGGATCTTCTCCACAAAAGGAGGCCTTAACAGCGTTGTCGTCTTCCAGGGTAACTCTTGCTTGCATTTGGCTATTTTAGATGCTTGCTGCAACAGGGCAGGAAACAGTTTGGTTATCTTACCTCTTTAGTCTCTATTTCTTTTTCTTTCAAAGGGTCAAAATCAGATGATCATTCAGCAAGGGCCCAGGACACTCCATTTTACAGCAAGTATTTCCTACCTAATACTCATTTCCCTTAAGGGCATTTGTGTAATCTATAATGCCCTGCTGATGTTCAAATGCAATGTGTTTAGCCACTCCAAAGGTGTCATCTGTTTATCTTTGTACCGCAGAAGTAAAAACAATTACATGAATCAGAAAATTTACCCATTTTATTGATGCATTGCAATTGCTCTACATTTTACCATATTATGTAGAAAATACTGAAAATACAAGCTACTTTGTAAAACCAAAGACAAACATTGAATCCAAAGATAAAGTATGTTTTACACAATGGACCCTTTTCCCCGTAGTTAGTAATAAATTTTAAATATCTATTTCTTTAGTTAAAATGATTATTTTACATACTCCCTAAGTACATCTGCATTACGAACACAGCTCAGTCATTCTCAGAAACGATCTGTTTCTAGAGGCTTGTTGTAAAAGGAAGTGCACACCAGAAAAGGGAGAAAGCAAAAGTTTAAAATCACACACAATAACTAGCATATCAAATACATTTAATAAAGTAGGAATTCCATTGCAATACCAAGGATTCAAAGCAGAAATACTAACGTTACATATAATGTACATATAATGTACTGCTACATGGAGTGAGATTATTTTTCAAGCTGAATTGAAACCACACATTATATAAAGTTTAGCAACAAACAACCATGTACACACATGCTGCGCCATCAATCAATTAAAAAAAATCAAAATAGGAAGCAGGCTTGGGCCACTCCTATAACTGGGGGGCAAACTCATTTCCTATCATAAAACAAACCACCTCAATGGTGGATTTCTGCCTAATAATGCGAAGTAACACACACTGCTGAACTGCTTGCCTGGCTCAGGGCAGCCAAGCTTGGCCTCTCTGGTGGAGAATGATGGGTGAGCAATCACAGAAGCAGGCTCAGGATGGCCAGAATGGGTTGACGTGGAGTTCTTATTCCTGGGGCTGGCATTTCAGCTCAACCCAGACAGCAGCAGAACTTCCTGGGAGCTATTAAACACTCTGGAGCAATCTAGTGTCCCTAAGAGCCTGGATAGCTCTACTAAACCCTTCCACACATCCCCTCACTGAAAGTACAAGTTCAGAGAGGGCTGGACACCGTCATCTGCTTTGAGACCAGCCATGCGGAAGCAGGCCGGCTGCTCACTCCATTCACAGGCCCCAAAAGCCAGAGATGTTCATCTAAGCTCCAAAGCTGTGTAGAGTGCACACACATGTAGCAGACACCTGAGATGTCACCAAGCAGAGCATGAGACGCTCTCACGCTGCTAGTCACTGCCCCACAGTGATCCAAGCTCCGCTGTTCCCTATCTTAAATGATGTCTGCCTATTGGATGAGGGCCCGAGGTGGGGATTTGTTTGTTCCCTACATCTCACTTCTTACAAAAACAACAAATCCTGTCCCTTGATGAGGAAAGATAAAGGAACAACAACAAAATGTTGGAAACTAGAAACCAGACTCCATTTAAACAAGAAAATTAGAATGTACTCTGCCAAAAAAAGTGGGGTGGGCAGGGAGGAGACACAAAGATGATACACACTGACCAGAAAACTGAATGACACCAGTAGCAAACTACACAAACTGTTTGGCGATCCTGACCAAACAGAGTGCTGAACACATAATTAACTTTTTTAAATTTACAGAAAATGCAACGTGCTCCTGGCAGACTACGCAGGCCACCTGCCCCACCAGGAAGCCCTTACTCCCCACAGCGAAGAAACTCTTAACACACCGACTGCTCGTCGGTGTTCAGCCTGGTAGTGTGTGCCAACCAGGCTCCATGAAATCTCCCGTCAGCATCCTGCACCTTCTATCACCATCTCCGCACAGAGCCAGTCCTGGAATTACCCCTCAAGTCTTGTCTTCAGCTCAGATGGAATACACCTGTGTCTCAGGGCTCATCTTCCTCCTCCAAATCGACCCCTTCTGTCCTTTCTGCTTCACCCACATCAATGGTGGGGTTATCGCTGGGACAAGTCCCAGCTGGAAGGGCCCCAGGAATATACAAGTTGTCACAAAGAAACCTCAAAAGCCTCAGTGATTCGACAGGCTTTAGCTCCTTCTTCATGTTCTTCACTGATGAAGAAACACCCCTGTGAGTCTCTTGCCACCAGCAGCGCCACAAAACTCCTCCTCACAGTATGGGACACAGTAAGCAATACAACAGGCTCTTTGGTATAAACACATCTGTTACATGTTTTTTTCTCAACAAGCAAATATTTGACTAGCAATGTGAACTACTAGCAGAAAGAACTACTACACAGGAAAAGGAAAAGAAGATCTCATTCCAAGTGATTGCACATACTTTAAAAGATGCATATTCAATATTGGCTTGACTTCTCTCACCTGCTTCCTGAATTCTCACAGAAGCAAGGTAGCAATGCAGTGAGAGCCACCTAGGAAATGTTTCTGTGAGAACACAGCTGAGAGTCCAAGTTGGAAGGGGGCAGAGTGGCGGTACACAAGAAAAGCTGCTGTTTTTATTTTGCTATGTCAACAGGAAAACGGCGAACAATGCTTTACACAACAGCTACTAGTCCTGTTCTGATAAATCCCAGGGAACAGCTCAATAGCTTAGGGTCCACGGGGGCTTGCTGGTCCATCCTAAGGCAAGCTCACTGTAAACGCTATTAACCACTACATTATCATATAAGGCACTACAATATGGGGAGGAGAAAAGGAAGGGAAAGACGCATACTGAACAACTCCTCACCAGACACACCTGTGCAAAACAACGCCAAGGGTCTCCTCTGCTTGCAGGCCAGGCCCCTGCTCATCCAGCACGACAGTAATACGCTCTATGTAACTTGCAATTAGTTCACATACATTCCAACAAGTGTCAGTTCATTTTGGTTTAAATACAATGGAGACATTAATTCCATCTTCGGGGTAACACTGGAGGATCAGATACATACTAAATACACAATTCAAGTGTAATCACTACACATTTGATTACGAATAACATTTTGGGTTAGCAGGAAAAATTGTTATATTTTTCTAATCAATATGTACACATTTAATTATGCAAAATATTAAAACACCACCATTACAAAACTTCTAAAATATTTTTAAATTCAGTAATAAACTTTTAAAATATTTTTTTGCAATTCCTACATGCACTTATAATAGAAGTCTTAATAAGAGAGCATTCAGTTTGCTGCTGGCATACGAAGGAAGCTACTTTGAAGTATAAAAGCTATACATGACATTTGCATCTGATTTCAAACTCTTTAGCTTTCTCCCCCAAATAAGTCACATAAAACAGGAGAGAGAGAGAGAGAGAGAGAGAGAGAGAGAGAGAGAGAGAGAGAGAGAGAGAGAGAGAGAAAGAGCGCAGAGATGTGTTATTGAGAATTCATATCATCTTTCGGCAGGGCTCACCGAGGGCGACCATCTGAAGACAAGGCTCTCGCCAAGGCCAGATGTCTCATAATAAAGAGATCTTGCATGAAGTAAAACGACTGCTACCTTATGCCAAAAAACACCTGAATGGCTTTGTTACTAATAAAACTTTAGTTGAATCAGAGGAGTTTTAAAAATAAGTTTAACAAGAATTCATGGTGTTTCATTTAAAGACAATACTTGGTGCCCGCATGTTCAGGCACAGGTTCTATCACACTGAGTTATCAGCAAATGGAGAACTACCTTTCCAACACCACTTTGCAACGAACACAAGAGCAACTGAGAAAATCTCCATACTCAACAAGTTTTACAAAACATGAAAACAAGTGTCCGTTAAGTATAATGCAACATGGAAACAGAATTAAAACATTTTAAGTTTAAAAGCTCCACAAACTAATGCTCAAGGAAAAATGCCTGATGATATAATATAGATTTGCATAAGCTGTTTTTAAAATAAAAAAGGGCAAATAAACCTTGGGTTTTTAAACAAACAAGAAGTAATGCCAGATCAGCATATTTCCTCTTATCAGCTATCATAATAAAACAAAGTTAAATAAGAGAGGCCTCACTGTTTTTAAAAGCATTTATAGAAGTCAGGTCAGAGAGAGCAAACATTTTTCAAAGGATAATTTTGGAGTGATCTCTCTTCCTTGGTAACTTCAGAAGATGAGCTTCTGAGTTCTTCCAAATACCAAAGTGCTGTCACAAAAGAAAAATTTAAAAATGGGGCAGACTTTGGGAGACTACAACAACGCAGTCAACACTGAGACAGGTTCCCAGAGAAAAGCCTTCTGTGTCACGGCTCTGCAGAATGAGCTGCTGGCTGCAGAACTATGAGAAGGGCAGGGGGCTCACCACGCCAGCTCTCCGAGCTCAGGGCCAGGCATGGGTGGAGGTGAGCCCTCCTCCCTCACGCACACCCAACTACAAATAGGAAAACTGGCTGATCTTGGTGGGACTCAGAGGGTACCCAGCAAAAACGGTCGAGCCTCGGGAGGACCCGATGTAAGACCGAGTGGCAAACTGGTGTTGGTATTGAGTGGGGGCCACACTGGCTGATGCGAGGAGGCTGGGCCCGACGCTGACGGGGACCTGGTGCACCAGGGCACTGGCGTGGGCGCCGTAGGCCGCAGCAGGCCGTGAGGAGCTCTGCGGGGAGAAAAGGTGAGCAATGGAGCCGGGGGTGCCCAGTGTGGCAGCAGAGGTGGGGGCGGCATACGTGTAGAGGTGAGGCTGGCTTGGCAGGGGAGCAGGGGCGGGGGCCAGATGTGGGTGCCCCGTCGAGTGCAGTGGGCTGCCATGCTGGAAGGCGTAGGGGGCGTGGGAGAGCGGGGCCACAAATGCCTGCTGCCTGTGGGGGGCGGGATGGCCACTTCTCTCCTGCGAGGACGGAGCTGAGGACGACTGCTGGTTCTGGAAGGAGGAAGAAGGGAAGGAGGAATCTTGAGGTCACTCTGGTTCAGGGCACCAAAGGGAAAGCGTTGGCTCTGACAGTTTCTGGACTGCACAGGATCTCCCAGACTGGCAACGAATGCTGCCGGACGTAGCCACCCGTCCTTCTGATCTTGGAGAATAGTCCTTGACCCACCTCAGACAAAGCGTGACAGAAGAAGAGTTCATACGCAGATGGGCTTCATACACAGATGGGGTCATACATGGACAGGGTTCATACTTGGACAGGGTTCATGCATGAACAGCGTTGCCTGCTCCTGCAACTCACCCTATCCTGGAGCCAGGGTTTCGCTTTTCCCTAACCCCTCTTTCTTGCCATTGCTTTCTTTTTGCTCTCCTCTAACTTCTGGAAATGCAGAGTTCAAAATACATGCACTGACGGGAGCTTTCACTTAGCTCATCTATGTCTCCCAGCTCCCTCACACAGAGCAGAGTACAGGCCATGGGATGCCGTGACTCTGCTTCATAGTGAAGCTACACTGGCAGACACAGGGCAAGTCCCGGGCTCTGGCAACGGGCAGGATTAGGACCAGTTGAGTGGCCAAAATGCTTTTCCTGTCTCGAAATAATGTGTGAGGCTCATGTTATTTGCGGTCTGGAGATAAAGGAAGACTATCTGTTCTTGAAGTAAGTGATTGTGCAGAACCAGGTAGGGCTCAAGCATCCTAGTCCCTAAATCATAAACATTTTTATCTGGGCTGCCCAAGGGATGTCTAGTGGAAAAACTGGAATGTACCCCCCCCCACACACACACACACATGCAGATAAGATGCGGGCCATGAAATACCACACGGCGACAGAGAGAGCATCATTTGGCTTTATTCAGCAGCGTGGCCAGGAGCTGGGTCCTCCAGAGAGTGTTAACAGGGGAGAATGCAAACAGAAGGCAGCGGCCCCTGGCGCTTACCTGGCTAAGGTTGAGTGGCTGTGCTGCGCCAGTCCCCCCACGCTGCGCTCGGTGGCCTGTGGGGGTGACACAGCATCCAGACGACTGCCCGCTCACGGAGGCCACCGGCTTGGTCTTACCGCTCAGGAGACCTGTAAAGGGTCAGGACTTCATATTACCCATCTGACCTCAGATGGCATCAAAGTACCCAACATCTGCAGACAGCCTGGAAGTTACAAGCTTGAATATGTCTTACTTCTTCCAACACAAATCAGAAGAGGAGAGCTGTATCATCCACTGCTGTGCTATGACAGGCTCCTTACAAGCTACTTGGGTAAATATGATCTAATTTCCTGTGATATAAAAGGAACCACTGGAAATAAAACCTGAGCAAGATACAATCCTATTCCCAAGGTGCTCTAGTTTTATATAGGATGGGATTAAACAAGTCAGAAATGACAATGTGGAGCTGAGAAAGCCATTGGTAATTCTTAGGATATTTAAATGTCACAAAGGGTTTAAAGGCAGGCAAGATTCTATTGGTACTTACCGCCTTCAAATTCAAGAAATTACAGGACAGTTGAACACAACATTTTGCTTCCATGTTCCCAGTAGAAAAATTAAAGCACATTTACACAGTGGCTTGTGAGCTAGCCTATAATTCTTTATGCCCAAGAATGGACAGAAGACCTAATAATTATATTCACAAGCCTGGCATCAAGATGTTCTACCTTGCCTTCAATGGGATTGTCAACTATTTCTGAGGTGAACCACACTGAGCCTTCACATAATACCCCTATAATTTAGAGTTCCATTTTCCCCCATGGCAGTGACATCATGACTAGAACATGAGAGCTCTACTGCTACCAAAACCATCCCTCCCTCCTGGGAGTAAAGCTGCCACTTGGAAAAAAGGATGCATTTCCCAAGCACTTTTGTAGTTTTTAAGTTCTATCTTCTTCTTGATTGCCAACTTCAAGTCACCTGTGTAAGTCTAATTGCCTGCTAACTCTTGATCCCATATAACAAAGCACTGAATGTGTTTCAGACATTATGCTGACATCAAACACAGTCTCACTTTTATGTCTAAGCAAAATAAATGTAGGAAGAAAAACTGATGCCTGTTCCTCAGGGAACAGGATTCTGGATGTATTCCTGAGGGATGTTTATGTTTCCGGTCCCAATCCCTGCCTAAGTACAATGAAAATATGAAGCAGGCATGCAGCAAAGGGATTTTCCCTCTAGCTGTGTGGACAGCACTTACCTGAGGCCTGGGTTGCTACAGTGCAGTCACCAGGCTGAGTTTTCAGTGGAGGCACAATAATGGTACGGGCGCCAGTGCCATCTGCCACAACTCTGCCGGGCCCTTCCAGAAGTGGTCCACTATTGCCCTGGAGAGTGCTCAGGGGGTCAGTGGAGTACGGGCTGCTCAAAGATGAGTCAGAGTCTGGAGAGTCATTGACAGTAACATAACTGATGACATTAGACCTCGGCTTCAGGGCAGAGCTGAGGAGAGGAAAATGCATGAGAATTGAACTGCCCCGTTTAGGTTTTGCAGAGACCTTCCCATGATCTCTGCCAGGGATGATGATAATACAAGCAGGGGTAAATTAGGTATCTATCAAGTATACAGGTGCTATTCTTACACGTCTATACATCTTGCCCCCGTCCTGTGATACAGGACTGCAGGCCCCAGTGCAGATGAGCACACTGAGGCAGGGGGATGTGTGCTGCCACACCTGGCCTTACCACTCATTTGTTGATAAAAGGCTCCTTCACTGCCTCTCACCTTATTCCTTTTAGCTCCTTACTTTTTAATAGGGCTGGCTTCTGTGAAAGTAACAAGGCCCAGTGTGTGCTTCTACTGAGCCATATTCCTGTAGTGAAGAACTGATTTTTCTTTTTCCCAAATCAGTTTAACTCAATGACCACTTTTTCCAAAACTTAGTTTCAAGTTCACCATTCTACACATCACCCTTTTGAACTAAAAGACTCTAATCTAAATGTACTCTAAATGTACATCTGACTTTAGTCATATGTAAGGTTTACTTTGCTATTTCCTAAGTTTATTTACTTTATTTTTTAATGGGGCCTGAATGCAGGTATACCATCCTTGAGCTTTTTTGCTCAAGGCTGTTACTCTACCACTTGAACCACAAGTCTACTTCTAGCTTTATGGTAGTTAAGTCTCAGGGACTTGTCTGCTCAGGTTGGCTTTGACTGCAATCCTCAGATCTCATCCTCCTGAGTAGCTAGGACTACAGGCATGAGCCACTGGTGCCTGGCTCCAAGTTTACTTTCATGTGTGAATCCTATCTTCTCAGGTAAAAGGTTAAGTTAGGCTATGGCTAAACTTCAAAAGCCTCATGGAAAATATATTCAATCAAGGAAACTGACTGGACTCATACTGAGAGAGAAGTGAGGATCCCAGTCCTTATGTTTTCCCGTACCCTCTTATAAACTGCCTAGCTGTGGACCTGCATTAAAGAGCAAGAAGCAAGATGAAATGACATGGTGCTCAAAGTCTTCTACTTTCAGGGCTGGGAAAGTGGCTTAGTGGTAGAGTGCTTGCCTAGCATGCATGAAGCCCTGGGTTCTATTCCTCAGTACCACATAAACAGGAAATGCCAAAGTGGCGCTGTGACTCAAGCAGTAGAGTGCTAGCCTTGAGCAAATGAAGCTCACAAAAGAAGGCCATTGTACTTAGTTCCACTTCTACCACAGAGGCCTTTTCAGATTAAGGAAAGTCTCAAATAATCCCTTACCTACCAACTCAATCCAATTAACTGTTGTTCCAATGCTTCTGTTATGATATCTATTTTTGGACTATAAAGCTCCTTAAAAGCAAGGACCATGGCTGCAGCACAATGTGAATTTCAAGGCAGAGTAATCCATCAACTTCATATAACCCCTCTCTCTAAGGTAATGATGAGTGTAAAACACTATAGAACACGTGACAAGTCTCAGCTACAGGAACTTAAGTATTTTGGACTGACTTATTCAAGATCATGCTTCCAAAATATGTACGTGTGTGCGTGCGTGCGTGCGTGCGTGCGTGCGTGTGTGTGTGTGTGTGTGTGTGTGTGTCTAAAATGGGGCTTGAACTTAGGGCCTGTGCTCTTGCTGGGCTTCTTTTGCTCAAGACTGGCACTCTACCACTTGAATCAAACCTCCACTTCGAGTGTTTTTCTGGTTAATTGGACATATGAATCTCACAGATTTTATCTGCCCAATCTGGCTTCAAATCTTGATCCTCACATCTTAGCTTCCTGAGGAGCTAGCAGATATGAGTCATCAACACCTGGCCAAAATACCTCTTTTTGTCCTTGTAAAAAGAAACACAGACAACAGACAGAGATGCTTGTTCACCTGCCTTACCTGCTGGGCTTATACTTGCCGTCCTCTTCTTCGTCAGTGTCACTGCGTATAGTGATAACACTCACAGGGGGGCTGGGAGTGTCTGGAATGACGATTGGCTGATGCTGATCTTGGACGGGGATGAGGGAATGGTAAGATGCAGTACGAAGAGGACTGCCCCCAACCAAGGAACAGACTTGGGAAGGCAGAACATCCACAGCAGGTCTGTGGAAAAGTTTACAAGTCAACACCATTCAACCTTAGGCCCTCAAATTGCACATCTTTTCCCTAGATTGTCCCCTAATTTGCTGATCCTTTTCTACATAACCATTAAGCTAACACACAATTATAAAGGTTCTGATAATAAATAAACTACTCACATGATAGTTTCCAGGGACAAAAAGAAAAAAAAAAAGGAAATTTTATTTTTGTGGACATTTTACCCGAGGTTTGAAATTCACTCTATTAGGTAGGCAGGGGAAAAAATCATAAAGGTGGCCTGGATTCAAAATGGCACCAAGAGAAAGGCTACACCCAGTGTGCATGAGAGAGGGGTTATAACCAGTACACATTTGGGATGGACATTCACGAGCTGTTGTTCAACTCAGCAGGTGCTTTGCAGATTCAGACCAAAAGTATCTACATCACAACAGTCCAAATGCTGGACAGCAGATCTCTGCAACTGGCACAGTTTTTGTTTTCTTAGAGTGCTGGGGATTGAACCCAGGGCTTTTGTATATGCTAGGTGAGCTCTCTACTGCTGAGCTATGCATCCCGTCTTGGAATCTGGCATAGTTTTAACCATCTGCTCTACCACAGACTTACTTGGAGGAGATTGGAGCAGATGGTTTATTCTTCTTGGAAGGGAGGGAACTGGACTGTTGCCTGACAACATGGGCAACCCCGACATTCAGAGGCTGGGCTGTCGCCAGGGCCACATGGTTAGTAAGCAAGGATGGCTGCTGCATGATGGTGCTGTACTGGTTACCATGAGAGTGGGCATTCCTATACCAAGGGAGAGAAACAGACAAGCATGAGTCCTAGAGTCATTGAGAAGCAGACTGCAACAGGAGTTTAAGAAATACTAGGACAACCAAATGTTCTAGTCAGGTGTTAAAAGTGATTAGGAAAACTGAATACAAGCCAGGTACCGGTGGCTCATGCCTATAATCCTCGCTACTCAGGAGGCTGAGATCTGAGGATCATGGTTCAAAGCCAGCCCGGGCAGGAAAGTCCTTGAAACTCTTTTTTTTTGGGGGGTCCGGTCCTGGGTCTGAACTCTGGGCCTGGGCGCTGTCCCTCAGCTCTTCAGCTCAAGGCTAGCGCTCTACCACTTGAGCCACAGTGCCACTTCCCAGGGCCTCATGCATGCAAGGCAAGCACTCTACCACTGAGCCACCTTCCCAGCCCCTCCGTGAAACTCTTATCTCCAATAAACCACCAGAAAACCAGAAGCGGCATTGTGGCTCAAGTGGTAGAGTGCTAGCATTGAGCTGAAGAAGAGCTGAGGGACAGCGCTCAGGCCCAAAGTTCAAGCCCCATCACCAACAAAAAAAACACAGCTGAATACAGCAGCAGCATGGATTTTGTAAGGCTTCAGGATTTTACTCTGTCCTCTCTGACCACTTAAGGCTTTCTTTAAAGACAGAGTAAATGATTCCTGACATCTATAACCTATTTTCCTACACTTAAAAGTTTCATTTCTTTTTCCTTTGATGTTGATATGGATGCTTGAACTCAGGCCCTCCTGCTCTTGCTTGGTTTTTCTGCTTAAGGCTGATGCTCTACTACTAGAGTCACACCCCTACTTCTGGTATTCTGCTGGCTAGTTGGAGCTAAGAGTCTCATGAACTTGTCTGCCTGGCTGGCTTTGAACCTAAATCCTCTGATCTTAGCCTCTTGTGTAGCTGACACTATAGGCATGAGCTACCAGCCCCTGGCTTAAAGTTTCTTATGATTCCATCTCCTAGCCAGATACAAGTTCATTGTTTTTTTTAATTTTTATTCATTTATTTATTTATTTATTTTAAGAATTTCAAATAGCCAGGCACCGATGGCTCACGCCTGTAATCCTAGCTACTCAGGAGGCTGAAATGTGAGGATCATGGTTCAAAGCCAGCCCAGGCAGGAACATCCATGAAACTCTGATCTCCAATAAATCACCAGGAAACCGGAAGTGGTGTTGTGGCTCAAGTAGTAGAATGCTCGCTTAGAGCTGAAGAGCGCCCAGGCCCAGAGTTCAAGCCCTACAACCAGCCAACCCCCCTCCCCTGCCCCCCCCCGCCAAAAAAAAATAATTTTAAATAAAGACAAATTTCTTATTTATTTTCTTCTTAGTCTCTCCACACCAAATCCTCCCCACCTCAATATGCACTTGCAGGTTTCAGAGAGAGACACAGGGCACTTGCCTCCAGTCTGCTAGCTGCTGGCTGCTACCCATGGCTTCTGGAATCACTGTGGGCTGGACAGAATTGTGCAGTGCCACCCCAGGCAACTGTTGCCACGTTGAAGGCAGGAGGATTTGCTGTGTTCCTCCAGGCCAAGCTTGCTGCAACAAAACACACACACATAAACCCAGACTTGATTCACAGTTGACTTTTTCTTCTGCTTTTAAGATGAAAGAAAATATCTTTTATAAAAAAGTTGCTTGTAGATTGTTAACTTGCAGAGACAAAGAAAGGTCAGAGGAGCGCATGGCTGCAAGTGTTACAAGAAGGTAGAGCATACTACTTGCTCTTGGCTATTTCCATAACCTGAGCATCAGCACACTACAAGAAACAAAGGTCCTTACAGGTAAGAGTTTCTATTAAACTGTAAAGAGAAAATTCAGAGGCAAACTCTAGTTAAACACTGGAGTTTATCTTTGTAAAACTGTAAAATACAGCCCTAGAAATTTAAGAAAACATACCTGCTATTAAAAAAGAAAAATGCTAATATTTGAGCGCCAATCATATAAGACAGCAGGTCAATCGCACCCATAAAACATAAGGTGCAACTCTTCCCTTGTTTAAAAGGGTAGACAACAGAGCCAAGATGACCAAAGGCAAAGCCCTTTGGCAAGCAGTTTTGTGCCAGCAAAAGAAAGCTAACTCAGGGGCTGGGAAGGTGGCTCAGTGGTAGAGCGCTTGCCTTGCATGCATGAGGCCCTGAGTTCGATTCCTCAGCACCACATAAGCAGAAAAAAAAAGCCGGAAGTGGCGCTATTGGCTCAAGTGGTAGAGCGCTAGCCTTGAGCTGAAGAGCTGAGGGACAGCGCCCCAGCCCAGAATTCAGGCCCACGACCGGACCCCCTCCCCCCCAAAAAAAAAGAAAAAAGAAAAAGCTAACACCAACATTTACAGACCTATGACAGAATGAAAAATTGAGGCAACCAGCTAAGTATTTAAAAAATAGAGGCAGAAAGCATATTATTTTTAACAGTTATGTAAAACTGTTTTATGTATCCTTTCTGGAAACATACTTTCATATAAAAACTAATCACTATAAGAAAATACATCACGAGGTTGGGAAGATGGCTCAGTGGTAGAGCGCTTGCCTTGCATGCCTCTGAGGCCCTGGGTTCGATTCTTCAGCACCACATAAGCAAAAAGAAAAAAGCCGGAAGTGGCGCTGTGGCTCAAGTGGTGTTAGCCTTGAGCTGAAGAGCTGAGGGAGAGCGCCCAAGCCCAGAGTTCAGTCCCCATGACTGGAACCCCCGCCCCCAAGCAATGCCACTTGCTAAAGACAGAGCAACAGCCAGGTACTGGTAGCTCAGGCCAGTAATCCTAACTACTCAGGAGGGCTGAGATCTAAAGATTGTGGTTTGAAGCCAGCCTATGCAGGAAAGTCCATGAGACTCTTATCTCCAGCAAAAAGCTGGAAGTGGAGCTGTGGCTCAAGTGATAGAGCATGCTAGCCTTGAGCGAAAAACCCTGCACCAAAAAAACAAACAAACAAAAACAACTGGGCTGGGAATGAAGCCCTGGGTTTGATTCCTTAGTACCACATAAACAGAAAACGCTGGAGATGGCGCTATGGCTCATGTGGTAGAGTGCTATCCTTGAGCAAAAAAAGCTTTAGGACAGTGCCCAGGCCTTAGTTCAAGCCCCAGGATTGGCCAAAAAAAAAAAAAGACAAAGCAATAAATACTTTTTTTAATACTTCTTACAGAAATTGTGGTGTTTTCTGGGAAAAAAAAAAAAAAGGCACATTTTCTTTTTAAACTTGAATCCGGCAGTGTAACTGCCCACAATACTTGAGCACATATGGTTGTTTCATAGTTTTCAAACAGCAAGGCCATCAACACACTCTTAAAAATATTTCTGCAAGTAACAGATCCACTTGTAACAAGTACTGGTTCCAAACAAGAAGCCTTCCAAGCAGAGAAACTGCAAACAGGTCTGTTACCATATGCAGAATTTAAAACAAAACAAAACAAAACAGAAAATAAGAGAGGTATGTTAAGTCACACCATGCGTCTTTCCATAAGCCAACACCTGCACAAGACAAAGCATGTAGTTTAATACAAAGCAAGAAATAACATTCCCACGTGAGGCAGAAATCTGGCGTTCCAAGCGACGAACTGCTTTGACAGAGGAAGAACAAAAATATGCAAAGCTTAGCAAATGGCTAGTGCAAACTTAAGAAAAACAGCAAAGGAAAGGTGTCAACTAACATCTCAAACCTCAAAACTATAGATAAGCAAGGAGAAACCAGTGGCTTGGATAAAACAAGATGGATTCTGTCTGACTCCCAGCCCTCAAAATTAATGCTCATGAGGAAATTCACGTGGAGGTGGCGTAGACTTTTAAACTAAATACTAAGCAAGTGTTTTCCACTCACAAGTACTTCAGACATAACTAAAGTCCAAAACTATTTTCTGAAGGATTCAATAATATTCATCAGGTTTTCAAATGTTTATTTAATTTTAAATCTCAAATAATGAAATGTTAAAATATGCAATAAACAATTCTAAGTCCCCTAAATAAAACACATCCAAAACTCACTCTGAAGCTTACAACTGCTGAGATATACCTCAAAGTCCTGTTCATTTGTTTTTTTCTTTCTCCAAGTCTGATGCTACTACAACTGCAGTGCTACTCAACAACTTCTCCCAGAAAATTTCAGTAGAAGAGACTGCATTGGCTCTTCATATTGGTTCTATAAATCCAAAGAATTGAGTTCTCCTTTAATGTTCATTAGCAACTTGTTCTAAAGGGAACAACTTTTCATGGGAGACAGAAGTTGCCACTGATTATGAGTGCCAAAAAGACCTATCTTCATGTGTTTACAGAAGGAAGATAGATGTTAACCAATAAAGAATTAAGAACATCTTAAAATTTCCACATGCACAGAGTTTTAGAAGCTTAAAACAATGGGAAAATTAAAAAGCTAACTTGAGTTCAGTTTTTGGACATCTGGGCTGTTTGCCAGTCAAACTAAGGCCATTTCCTTCCTTCTGAAGGACCACAGAGGGCATAAGAGGGCAGAAAATGGGGAACAGTGTTGAGGCTCTTCTGAGGCTAAATCAAGAGCTTCACCACTCTGGCTGGCAAAGAAGAATCAAGGGGTCTGGCTCCTGACAGAGCCAGACTGAACACCAACCCGTGCTTCAGCCAACGTTGGGGAGGAGCAGTGTGACATTGAAGATGCAGCAAGAACACAGCCACAAGATGGCTCATGCTTCCATGCCCTCTGCAAGACTAAGCTACTTTTTTAAAATGAGAAAACCAGAAGAACAGAACAATAACGAACAGGAAAAATTAAAAAAGAAAGAAAACAAAGAAACCCCGTTAGTAACACAGTCAAGTGAGGGAATTACCAGTACAGCAGTGGTCTGTTCAACCAGCGCCGGCCGGCCGGCTGTGCAGCTCAGGGTAAAGGGCACCGCATACTGCGGTGCGATGGTGGCTACTTGAGGGTGGAGAGTTGCTACCATTAGTGGTGTACAGCTTCCCTGAAATGTAGATTAGGCAGGTGAGTGAGACAAACACTGAGGCAGGTCATCTGGATTCAGAAGGGTCCTCAGACCCCATGTTATTACCATCAAAGTTAATTCAAATCACCTAAGATGTACAAACCTCTTCCCCCTCACTCTGCACAGCTTGAGTTCACTAGGTCAAACATCCATGGCCTAAAGCAAAGAGTACAGAATCTTTCTTGGGCCAGACCCAGAGAATCTGTTCTGGGACAGAACTCACAAAATAAGATTTTTATATTTTTTGTATGTTTCTGGGCCACAAACATTTACATATAGAATTTATAATGTATACTTGCTATTATAAATCTTGCATGGTTTTTCTCTATTGTCTTAGTTTCTCAATCATCTGGCAAGTGTGACAGCGTAAAGCTTATTACAGCCTAGTTCAACGTAAGGAATGAAGAAATGGTGACTTCCTGATGTGACTTAGCCTCTCCACTGAAAGCAAAACAGACAATGAGGGGCAATGGTGGAGCCTTGCTTTTAGAATAAAAAGTGCTGCATGTATACTGTATCTTTAAGATATCTAGAGGTAGGGGACCTGATCCCATAAAGTTAAGAGTAAACTTAGTCAGATGACCTTTCTCAGCATCTGGATATTATGTATCCCTGTCAATCTGAGGGAGACACAGGGAGTTGTAGTAATGAAGCAATGAGTATATTGTTACATTGTAATGTTGCATTTTAAGACCACTGAGTCAGAACCAAGAAAGATTTTATAGTCAAAGCAAATACCATATTCTAAAACAAAGTGTCTGTTTTCCAAGTGCTTCAGCAATACCATTCTGGCTTTTACCTGGGTGAGCACTCCTGACTGGATCTGCAGTGGCTGAGCAGCTGGCGCCTGGGGTACAATTGGCACAGCATTATCCATCCTCACAGGGAATCCAGAATGTTTTGTTGTTGCTTGTAGCCCAGCTGGCGGGGGGGAAAAAAGAACATCATTGGTAAACTGCTTTGCTGGGTTTGAGGATCATTTTGTTTTTTGTTTTCAGCCTTTTTTACTGCTCAGGTTTTAGTTTCAGACACTCCAGACAAAGGAGCTTCAGTCAGAAGTCTTAAAAGTTAAGAAAAGGTAACTTGGTTCCCATCAGTTAGCCAAATGCAAAGACATCTGACACAGGGAGGGCTGACTGAAGGGAATTCTGTTTTGTGTGTGTCTGTGACTGTGGGTGTGCACACTCGTGCGTGCACCAGTCTTGGGGCTTAAACCCAGGGCATGGGCGCTGAGCCTGTGCTTCTTTTGCTCAAGGCTAGTACTCAACCACTTGAGACACAGCTCCACTGGCTTTCATTTTGGTAGTTGAGTGGTGATACGTATCTCACAGACTTTCCTGCCTGGACTAGCTTTGAACCATGATCCTCAGATCTCAGCTTCCTGTGTAGCTAGGATTAGAAGGCGTGAGCCACCAGTGCCCAGAAGGAATTTTCATTTTAATGTTACACAATTTAAAACACAATAACCATCCCATCTATCAGATCTAATGATCTATCTGTCTATCTATCTATCTATCCCTTCAAGTAGTATGATATTTACCTTTTAGTTCATTGGGGAGGAGTGCCTAAGTGCTTTTTCAAACTGTCATCTACTAAAAATAGACTTGAACATAATTATAACTTTATTTATTTGCTTGTTTATTTTGTCAGTCGTGGGGCCTTAACTCTGGGCCTGGGCACTGTCCTCAGTTCTTCAGCTCAAGGCTAGCACTCTACCACTTGAGCCACAGTGCTACCTCCAGCTGAGGAATCAAACCCAGGGCCTCATGCATGCAAAGCAAGCACTCTACCACTGAGCCACCTTCTCAGCCCCATAACTTTAAAATTAGACAGTTGAATTTGCAATCTAAATTACCTTTTTGTTCAGATTTGGGGTGGGGGTGGGGGTTGTGGGGTTTAAACTCAGGGGCTGGGCACTGTCCCTGAGCTTCTTTGTGTTCAAGGCTAGCATTCTACCACTTGAGCCACAGCACCACTTCTTGGTTTTGAGTAGTTTATTGGCAATAAGAGTTATCACAGGGACTTTTCTGCCCAGGCTGGCTTTGAATCTCTATCCTCAGATCTCAGCCTCCTCAGTAGCTAGGAATATAGGTGTGAGCCACCAGCGCCCAGCTATTGAGAATATTTTAAAGGATATTTTGTCTCCTCAAAAAACTTCAACCAAGTTCAAATGTTAGTCATACTATCTTTAACTTGCAGAAAATGAAAGATAAATATACTTTTTGAGTCAGAGAAATCTGTTTCTGTCAGTGGTGGCTTTCTGATACAGTTCTCTTATAGTTAAAGAGCAGCTAAGCAAATGGAAAAAGTCTTTGCTGCCTTTTAAAACAGTGACCATATTTTATTTATATTTTTAATTTGCTGTGCTCCTGGGATAAATGCTGAATAAATTCCCATAAGATAGAGGTATCTATTATAAATTCTTACAAATAGGAACCTCAAACTAGGAAAAGGGGGTTCAGCATAGGTCTTGTATTTACTTATGTATTGTGTCAGTCCTGAGGCTTGAACTCAGGGCCTAGGTGCTATCCCTGAGTCCTTTAGCTCAAGGCTAGTACTCTACCACTTGAGCCATGGCTGTACTTCTGGCTTTTTGCTGGTTAATTGGAGTCTCGCACACTTTCCTGGCTGTGTTAGCTTTGAACCGTGATCCTCAGATCTCAGCCTCAAGTAGCTAGGAATATAGGCATGAATGCCACCATGGGTCACTCAACCAGCTCTTTGTTTTTATCAAGACTTAAAAAAAGAGGGTCTTTTTTTTTTTTTTTTTTGTGGTTGTGGGGCTTGAACTCTGGGCCTGGGCGCTGTCCCTCAGCTCTTCGGCTCAAGGCAAGCACTCTACCACTTGAGCTACAGCGCCACTTCCGGTTTTCTGGTGGTTTATTGGAGATAGGAGTCTCACGGTCTCTCCTGCCCGGGCTGGCTTTGAACCGCGATCCTCAGATCTCAGCCTCCTGAGTAGCTAGGATTACAGGCGTGAGCCACCAGCGCCCGGCTAAAAGAGGGTCTTTAAAAAAAAAAAAAAAAAAGGCCTTTGAAGTTTTCTTCTATACCTACCCTTTCAAAACTTTCAATTTGGAGAATTTAAGTTTCTGTTTCTTCTAATCCTCTTTAATTTCGCTAACACATTTTATGTAGTGAAGAGGCAAACATTTTATTCAGAAGACTGCATCAGTGACATTTCCTAAGCTCTCATCAATTTCTTTTCTCTCTTTCTCTCTGTCTGACAAGGTTCACTATGTACTCAGACTAGTCTTGAACTCAAGGTCTTCCCATCTCAGCTTCCCGAGTACCACAATTACAGGCAGGCACTATCACATCCAGCTTACTTTCTCTTACTATTACTATAGAGGTATCAAAGGAGTATAATGTATAAACCAAATGTGTAACGTATAAACTTGCTTTTTCCAGCAAGCTAGTTTCCCAATTTTGCACATCAGTATTTTGTGAGTAATTTAACAATAAATTTTAAAGTCTGGATAAGGGAGCTGGGAAGGTGGCTCAGTGGTAGAGTGCTTGCCTTGCATGCATGAGGCCCACCTGGGTTCAATTCCTCAGCACCACATAAACAGAAAAAGCCGGAAGTGGTACTGTGGCTCAAGTGGTAAAGTGCTCACCTTGAGCAGAAGAGCTGAGAGACATCGCCCAGGCCCAGAGTTTAAGCCCCATGGGGGGGGGGGGGGGGGTGCGTGAATCTGGATAAGATGTAAAGGTTGCCAGCCATGCTGACCTAAGCAATGCAACCCAAAATCTTGTGTGCATTCCTAGGACACAGGGACAGTATCCTGACCTCAAGAGGTCATTGTACAAGCCTCCTACAAATGGAGGAGGTCAGGAGGCAATGTTGGCTAGAAAAGCAAATTTATGACTCCCAGAGTGACAAAAGTGAAAGGGGACAAATATACAAGAATAGCTGCCACTCTACAAAATGTATGTCTATTTTGGTCAACTGGAATTAGTATGACCTATAAAGGAGACTACAGTTATGTAGGCTAAGCCACAGGCACAGAGCTAGGTTAAACTAGGCCTTTCTCCACCATAGCTGGAAACAAAGAATAACAGTACTTTGGGAAGGCTCTCCCAGAAGGCTGAGCTGTTTTACTGATATCCTTTAAGCCACTTGGTGAGGCCTAAGGACTGTGTCCTCCAGTGCCAGCAATCTGTAGAGGAAGAGGGGGAAAGGAAAGTGGCAACTCAGAAGACATCAGCACTTGGTGGGGCTGGCAAGATACTGACAGCTCCTTACAGTATGGAATAACACCGCAAGTGACTCATGGTGAGCCCCAGTGCGGGGAGAGGTGCTAATCATTGTCTTGAGTAAATAGTCAAATTACTTTAAACACAGGAGGATTTTGTCCTTTAGGAACTGGGGATAATGGTTGTTTGTAAGAATAAGTTAATACATGTGAAAGTACTTAAAACACTATTTGGCAAATAGTGATATTATCAGGTATCATCACAACCACTGTCACTTCAGACCTCCCTTTTGTTTGAAAAAAATTATTTTTTTCCCTTTGATGCAAGGACTTAAACTCCACTTCCCACTTTTTGGTGGTTACCTGGAGATGAGTCTCAAGGACTTGTCCACCTGGGCTAGCTTCAAACTGAAATCCTCAGATCTCAGCCTACTGAGTTGCTAGTATTACAGGCAAGCCACCAGTGCTTAGAGGAGCTCTACTAGCTCCTCAGAGGTTATTTATACTTCTAGACAGGGAGGGGGGCGGTAGTAGGACCTTTCCAAAGTTTATACTTACCTAGTTCTTATCAAAAGGGACTATTCCATGCTCCCCCTACCTGTTTATTTTGGTTTACTAAGGGAAAATATCAGGGTCCCACATCTGAAAACTATTCCAATGTAATTCACTTTGGAAAAGGTAGGGAAGGCTAATTTTCTAAATTCAGTGGAAGAATCCTTCGCTATCTGATGACCCAACGCATAGTTTTACTACTATAAAGCATACATTAAAGGTAATTTGGTAAGCGAAGCTAAGTTTGCATTTACGGATTTTGAATCTGCTCCTCCGCTCGCCCTGTGGTCTCTCCCTGGTTTACATGGCTACCGCTCTCCTGGCCTCCCGGTAATCTCTCAGTCTCCCCCAGACCCTCACTTCCTTCTGCTTGCTCCGACTCTGTCAGAAACCAAACAAACAAGAGAGTCACAATCAACAAGTAACTGAAGTAAAAAGATAAAAATGCTACCTACTTCGATGAAAGGTATATATAAAAAGCCTGAAACCCAATTTATTCCCATTGAGATTGACCTTTTATTCTTTTCCTTATTTATTTTTTTTTTAAAGGATCAGGGCCTTGCTGTATAGCTCAGACTGGCCTCCAGCCTGTCTCCCAAGGGCTGGGATAACAGGTGTGAGCACCAGGCCTTGTATTAACGTTCACAAAGTGTCATCAGAAAATATCTACAAAGTAATTTAACCTTCCTGTATTTCAGAAAAAAAAAAAAAAAAACTAAACAGACTGAATTAGAGAACAATAATAATAAAATGAGAATGTAAAATTACTATCGAATGAAACACATTGGGTCATACCCTCTTTCTTCAGCTATTTTCTTCCTCTGTTGATAAGAGTTTATAGGAACAATATGATTTGTGAGCTGAAGCAGAAATTCCTAAAGTCTATCCCACATAAGCACGCCAGCCTGTAGAACTTTCCAGATCACTATGTCATGATCTTTCTTATTGAAAGTAACTTAAAAGATTTCTACATTCTTCAGCGTGACTTTTACACTTTAGAATAAATTTTTAAGTGGGGCATAATTTTATCTTGAAAGATAATGATAGGAAATTCGATTCAATATTTAACAATTCTGCTTATAACCATTTTTTCTCCTATTACTAGGGACTGAATTCAGGTCCTTACACTTGCCAGACAAGTCCTCTTCTATGTGAGCCATGCCTCTATCCCCATTTGGCACTGGTTATTCTTGAGGTAGGGTCTTACTTTATGCCAGGGTAGGCCTGGGTTGTGATCCTCCTTCTCGTACATCCCCATGTCACTGGGGATGGTAGGGCACAACAACGCACCCAGACATTTTTCTTCCTTTGTACCTGGAATCATGGGTATGCACCATCATGCCCAGACATTAGCTGAGATGGAGTATCAATAATGTATATGAGCTGGGCACTGTGGTATACACCTGTAATCCTAGCTACCTGAGGAAAAGTCTGTGAGACGATCTCCAATTAGCCACCAGAAAACTGGAATTAGCAATGTGGCTCAACATGGTAAAATGCTACAGCCTTGAGCAAAAAAGCTCAGGGTCAGTGCCCAGACCCTGAGGTCAAGCACCAGGACCAACAAACAAGCAAAGAACTTATATGATACAGCTGGCCTTGAACTGTGATCTCCCAAGTAGCTAGGATTACAGGCTTTGAACCACAAGGCCTAGCATACAACCAAATTTTTAAGATGTATATATATTCTATATACTGAGATAGATATACATGTTTAATTCAAGGTTTGTATTAACAGAAAGCTTCAATGTATAGAAAGAAAGAAAAGAAGGAAGGAAGGAAGGAAAGAAAAAAAGAAAGAGAGACATAGAGAAAGAAAGAAAGAGAGAGAGAGCAAGAAAGAAAGAAAGAAAGAAAGGAAAGGAAAGAAAAAGAAAAACAAAAACCTGGTAACTGGTAATTCAGGTAAGGGAAGAGACACTGAGTTTCTATAGTAACCATAGAGAAATTACCAGTGTAAAAAGGAAAAATCTACTTTGTGATTATCACACAGTTCCAGTTACTGTAAACATCAGAGGCAGAGTTTAACTGGTCAGAGATCAAAACTAAACCACTAGATCTGCCTAGAACAGTAGGTCCAATGTCATATTACATAATACAAGAGTCTCACTACTTACTTTGAAAAGCAGGTGGACATACTATAAAGGTTTGCTGGAATGGATCTGTCTGAGTGCAAATTTGGGTGGTTCCGGGCTGCAAGGACACACCCTGCTGGGCAACTCCAGGGACCGGAGCAGCAGAAGACGGATACAAAGCTGACTGGTAGTTTAGCAATGAGACATCTGAATTAGCCAGAGAAAGAGTAGCAGCTGCTGCAGTAGAACTGGAAGCTAAAACAGTGGCCTAAAAACAAAAGGATGGTATTTTCACACAGCCAGACAATATCTTTACATATACAGAATCTACCCAGAAAAAATTAGGACAAGGTTTAAAAATGTAACAGTAACTATCTGAAATACCTCTCCACTTAGAACTTTTCCCAATCCATAAATGTAAGGCATACTATAAAGTCAAATAAGCAAAAAGTAACAAATGGCTATTCTTTTGTTACTGTACTAGTGGTAGTTATCTATGATTTCTGCACAATAAACTGCTGGATAGAACAATATGATTTTTTTTTTTGGGGGGGGGGGGTCCGATAGTAGGGCCTGAACTCTGGGCCTGGGCGCTGTCCCTCAGCTCTTCAGCTCAAGGCTAGCGCTCTACCACTTGAGCCACAGCATCACTTCCGGCTTTTTTCTTTTTGCTTATGTGGTGCTGAGGAATCGAACCCAGGGCCTCATGCATGCAAGGCAAGCGCTCTACCACTGAGCCACCTTCCCAGCTCCTATGATTTTTTTTTTAAGTACAACAAACTGAGAAATTGGGAAACTTGAATCTTCAAAAATAAGCCTCAAATTATTAGCAAACAAATGTAAATTTACCCTTGAAAATAATTATTTTAAAATGTAAAACTACCCTTAAGAAACAAAGAACTCCCGCTCATCTGGTTGAACCACTACTAAATATCCCCATGCTGCTGATCACAAATATGGTATATAACATGTGAACACTGTTATATATTACAGACTGTGATAGACAATTTGCTCCAGGAAAGTTAGAATGAACTTGTGACTTTGAAATTATGTAATCACTTAATCACAATCAAAAAAAAAAAAAAAAAAAAAAAGAACCTCGGGGAAGGGAGGGAGGAAGGGGATGGTAGGGGGAAAACAATGGAGGGGGGTAACAATGTTCAAGAGGAAGTGTACTCATTACCTCACTCATGTAACTGTAACCCTCTGTATAGTAGCTGTACAATTAAAAAAAAAAAAAAACTACCCTTAAGGATAACTGTTTTAAGTATCTTTCAATTAAGTGATGAGATATAAAATCCTTCTCCTAACGGAAAAAGAATGTCATTCAATTAGGAGCAAGTAATAAGGAATATAAGACCTCAGTTATATGACTATGTTTAAGACTTATGAAGTCATGGATTAAGCCTCTGTATTTAATTGTTGTCAGCACATGACATTCCACTCAATTTTCTATCACTTGTGTCAGACAGAAAGTTCTTAACAGGAAGATCACCTGAACACAGGTGTCTTCTTTATCATGCCTGCACCCTCACTCCTTTCTATCCCATCCACGAGGCAAAACCATTTACTGAATACCTGATTATGCACTGTATTGAGCTGGTTGCTGAAGCTCATGGTTAGATTTGTGCTTGTATTTGGTGCAACATGAGTAGTAAAGGGACTCTTGATCTGACTCACTGTATCATACATGTGAACCCTCCGCTTGCAGATCTCCATGTTCTGGAAACAAGACTTAACACTGAAAATGAGATGAAAGATTGGTTAAGTGAATATTCAAATTTAAACTGGAAATAATTCAAGATAAAAATGGATCGAAGTTATGTTATTAATTTTGCTAGTGCTGGAATTTGAACTTAAGCCTGGTACTGGCTGATGCCTGTTCAGCTGGCACACTACCTACCACTCAAGACACGCTTCCAACCTGGCTTTTCACTGGTATTTTGAAGATGGAATCTCTCAAGACTTTCCTGCCTGGGCTGGCTTTGAACTACCATCCTTCTATGATTCTACAAGCCTTCCACAAAGCTAGACTAATAGGCTCACATTCATCCAACTATTTTGTTGAGAAAGGGGTCTTGAGATTTTCTGTCCAGGCTAGCCTCAATATGCAATCCTCTTATTCTAAGCCTCCTGAGTAGCTAGAATTACAAGCACTGAGGACAGGCACTAGTTTCAAAGTTTATTATTTTCTAAGCACTTTCAGAAAAAATGAGAGGGGTTTTTGTAATCATTAAAATCGGGGGAAAAAAAGATATCTAATTTTTTTGGGGGGGGTCAGTTGTGGGGCTTGAACACTGGGCCTGGGCGCTGTCCCTCGGCTCTTCAGTTCAAGGCTAATGCTCTACCACTTGAGCCACAGCGCCACTTCCTGCTTTTTCGGCTCATGTGGTGCTGGGGAATTGAACCCAGGGCCTCATGCATGTGAGGCAAGCACTCTACCACTGAGCCACCTTCCCAGCCCCAATATCTAACTCTTAATCTCATGGGTTTTTTTTTTTTCTTTAAATGAGAAAGATAAGCACCAGGGCTAGGAAGGTGGCTCAGTGGTAGAGTGCTTGCCTTTGCATGCATGAGGCTCTGGGTTCGATTCCTCAGCACTACATAAAGCAGAAAAAGCCAGAAGTGGTGCTGTGGCTCTAGTGGTAGCTTGCTAGCCTTGAGCTGAAGAGCTGAGGGACAGTGCCTAGGCTCAGAGTTCAGTCCCACAACTGGCAAAAAAAAAAAAAAGAAAGATAAGCACCAGTGAGCCAGTTATGCACCAAGGCTGTTAACCAGACAGTCCATTTATAAGATGGATACTCAATCAAAGCCACATACTGTACTCACTGATTACTATGTGGAAAATCCAGAAGATGGGTCATTGTCACAAACTGATGGTTGAGAGTTTTCAGAGGAGTAATTCTCTTATCTGCATCAATCGTTAACATTTTCTTTAACAGATCAATGTATTCTCTTCGATCAGCTTTCTCTGCCAGCATGTCCGTTCCCTCTAGGTCTGTAGACATATTGACCTTCCAAGGAAGATTCAGAAACGTTTTATTTCTTCATCTAAGCTTAAAGAGCAGATTACAGACTTACTGTATCTGCTTTTCTCTCCAAAAGGAGGAATTAAAGTATTTTTTGGTCAGCATTTAAGCAATGAAAATTCATTTTACAACAGTATAATGATTTTCACAGGAGGAAATGTTTTGTATACTAAGAGGCAGAATAAAGATGAAGAAATTCCTGACATTAAAAGTTTGGAACAGGGGCTGGGAAGGTGGCTCAGTGGTAAAGCGCTTGCCTTGCATGCATGAGGCCCTGGGTTCGATTCCCCAGCACCACATAAGCAAAAAGAAAAAAGCCGGAAGTGGCGCTGTGGCTCAAATGGTAGAGCGCTAGCCTTGAGCTGAAGAGCTGAGGGACAGAGCCCAGGCCCAGAGTTCAGGCCCCACGACTGGACCCAAAAAAAAAAAATTTGGAACAAACAAGTTAAGCAAAAACAACTGTTATTACATAAATGTAACTTTCTGTTGTTGAAAACATTAGTGCAACATGTTTAAACTGAATCTGAAATATAAGCATTCTCATTAAATATTAGCTATTAAGCAACTACTTATTTAGTAGACAAAAATGGGACAAGAGGGCTGGGAAGGTGACTCAGTGGTAGAGTGCTTGCCTTGTATGCAAGAGGCCCTGGGTTCGATTCCTCAGCACCACATAAGCAAAAAAGAAAAAAGCCGGAAGTGGCATTGTGGCTCAAGTGGTAGAGCGCTAGCCTTGAGATGAAGAGCTGAGGGACAGTGCCCAGGCCCAGAGTTCAGGCCTCACAACCAGACCTCTCTCCCCCCCCCCCCAAAAAAAGAAAAGGAACAAGAAAGAAACTTATAAAAGAATATTTTAAAATATTGATATGTAACAAGAACAGCGAAATATATACAAGGTGAATATCCTTTCATCTGAAATGCTTGGGACCAGGAGTACTTCAGAATTCACAGCTTTTGGATTTTAAAATATTGGCCCAGGAACAATGGAAGGGGTGACATAGTTAAGAAGCACTGTGCTTATAAACCTGACTTATGGAATTGTAACTTCTTTGTTGTTTTTTTTTGGGTCCAGTCGTGGGGCCTGAAGTCTGGACCTGGGCGGGCGCTGTCCCTCAGCTCTTCAGCTCAGGGCTAACGCTCTACCACTTGAGCCACAGCGCCACTTCCGGCTTTTTTCTTTTTGCTTATGTGGTGCTGAGGAATTGAACCCAGGGCCTCAGACATGCAAGGCAAGCGCTCTACCACTGAGCCACCTTCCCAGCCCGGAATTGTAACTTCTTTGTATACCTAAACATTAATAATAGTAGAGGGACTGGGAATGTGGCTTAGTGGTAGAGTACTTGCCTGGCATACATGAAGCCCTGGGTTCCATTCCTCAGTACCACATACACACAAAAAAAGCTGGAAAGTGGTACTGTGGCTCAAGTGGTAGAGTCCTAGCCTTGAGCAAATGAAGCTCAGGGACAGTGCCCAGGACCCTGAGTTCAAGCCCCAGGACTGGAAAAAATAAACAAATTAAAAAGCAGAAGTGGTGCTATGGCTCAAGTGGTAGGGAGCTTGAGCTGAAGAGCTGAGGGATAGCACCCAAGCCCAGAGTTCAAGCCCCACAACCAACCAACCAACCAATCAAAATAAATAAATAAATAAATAAAGAGTATCAGCAAAATTACCAACTGAGCATAGATCTACAATACCTAAATATAAATGCTCCAAAATGTGGAAAAGCTTAACCTATTTATTTATTTTGTCAGTCCTGGGGCTTGAACGCAGGGCCTGGGCACTATCCCTCAGCTTCTTTTGCTCAAGGCTAGCACTCTACCACTTGAGCCACAGTGCCACTTCTGGCTTTTTCTGTTTATGTGGTACTGAGGAATCAAAGCCAGGGCTTTGATCATGCTAGGCAAGCACTCTACCACTAAGTCACATTCCCACCCTGAAAATTGCAAGTTTTATGCCAGTACTAAAAGGCATTTCAGATTTCTGAGCAGTACTAGGATTATTGACATCTAATTCTTTTTTTTTTTTTTTAATTTTTTTTTTTTGGTCTGGTCGTGGGGCCTGAACTCTGGGCCTGGGCGCTGTCCCTCAGCTCTTCAGCTCAAGGCTAGCTCTCTACCACTTGAGCCACAGCGCCACTTCCGGCTTTTTTCTTTTTGCTTATGTGGTGCTGAGGAATTGAACCCAGGGCCTCATGCATGCAAGGCAAGCGCTCTACCACTGAGCCACCTTCCCAGCCCTCTAATTCTTATTATTAGGGCTCAGGTGTTCTAATAATACATGGCAGAATACCAATGTGCTTTTTCTTTCAAACTGGAAACAAACTAAAAAAGACAACAAGCTAAGTCTATCTTTAGTATCGCCAACAGAAATGTATGAATGGAGAACAATACAGACGTCTTGCCTTCTGAACCCACCATTCTTACCTGTGCCATGTCATCTAAGCAGTTAAAAATGTATTTTCGAGCTTCTTTCGATTTTATGCCAGTCTCTAATTCATGTTCTTCAGGTGTCTACAAAATATGCATGTTATTTCCATATTTTAGTCTAAATTAAAGTTGGAACACAAAGAGATAAGTGTCATCATCTTGCCAACCGATGACGAAACAGATTACAACCAGAATGTGTCCTTGATACCTGGCCACCCTTTCAACAGTGACACAAATAAACATGAAGTGGCGATGCCACACAGTTCCTGAAGCAAGTCAGGGGAAGAGGCACATTGCCATCTTTCTCTTAAAATTTCTTTGAAATGAATTGATAAGGTCAATGCTTATAGCTCAGCAGGTTCAGAGGCAGAGCCACAGACAACCAAATTACTCAGATTTCTCAAATTAAATCAAGCGCAGAAGTAAAAAGTAGGTACTTGCTGCAAGGAAACATGTAAAGCCTGAATGTGGGGAAGTAGACTATTCAGTTCTTTTTTCATGTTTACTGAGAAGGCTCTAAAATAGTCATTACTAAATTTCACTTAACTGTGAACATTATCCTCCATTACCTGCCCATCCTCCCCCTGCAACTTCTGGTTCTAAACAAATAAACTTCAGCTAACTGAGTCAGCACTTAGTTATCTTGGGTTTTGTTTTGTTTGTACTGGTTCTGAGGCTTGAACTCAGGGTCTGGCACCATCCCTGGGCTTTTGTGTTCAAGGCTGGTACCACAACTCCATTGACAGCTTTTTGCTGATTAACTGGAGATAAGATTCTCATGGACCTTCCTGCTCTGCTGGCTTCAAACCACCATACTCAGATCTCAGCCTTCTGAGAAGCTAGGATTACAGGTGTGAGTCACCAGTGCCTGGCTAATTATCTTGTTTTAACCAAGAATCAATGAGTACAGTGAAGTAATTCTTCCTCCTTCTCTTCCAAGTCAAGGATTTAACAACTAAAGCCTGAATTAAAAAATGGGGGTGGCAGTATGTGAACGGGTAGTGCAGTGGGAAGACAGACCTTAAGCCTCCACAGTGGGTATCCCAAATTAGGATCTCTGTTGAAAAACCTGGTTGTTTTCGTTCCAGCACTGAGAAGATATTCGGCTGGCAGGCCTTGTGTTTGTGAAATGTAGCGAATCTGAAATATCAAAATCATCAATTATCAATTTGGAATGAAAAGGAAATTAATAAAGTATTAACTAAATTATTAACTAGCCAGAAGCTGGTGGCTCACAATTGTAATCCTAATTACTTAAGAGGCTGAGATCCCAGTTAACCACCAGAAAACCAGAAGAAGAGCTGTGGCTCAAAGTGGCAGAGTGCTAGCCTTGAACACAAAAGCTCAGGGACAGTGCCCAAGCCCTGGGTTCAAGCCCCACAACTGACAAAAATAAAAAATAAAAACAAAAAGTAAAGTATTAACTAGCCAAAAGACAGAAGATGTTACAAAGAAATTATCTCTGATAAGTACAATTGAAAGGTATTTATATGTAATTTGTGAATCCATCCATAGGTAAACATTCATATATTTATTCAGTAACTTCTGTGTTATGATGCCTGTTACTTAAGGAAAGCTGGCTTTAAGGTTTTGGGGGTCTTGGGGGGGGGGCAGTACAAGGGTTTGAACTCAGGCCTCATGCTTGCTAGGCAGATGCTCTATCATTCTCCCCTAGACCTTTTTTGCTTTATTTATGACATAGGATATCACATTTATGCCCAGACTAGCCTGGACTGTGACTCTCCTGCTTAGCTGATGTGAGCCAGCTTTTTATTGGTTGAGATGTGATCTCATGATCTTTTTGCCCAGGTTAGACAAGACCCACAATTCTCCCAGTCCCTGCCTCTCTGGGATTACATACATCATAGTCTATTGAGTGTAATCTTTTCTGTCTTTTTTCTTAGGTTTCTGATAAAAATGTTCAAAACTTTTAGATTCTAGATCAGAATAACTTTCAGTAAACTTTCTCATGAATTATGTTTTCCACCTGAGTAGCTAGGATTACAGGCATGAGCCACTGGCACCTAGCTTTTTTTTTTTTTTTTAATGTATTACCAACTTAAAAAGACTAGCAAAAATTCCCTAAATTGTCTTTCTTTCTTGAGTGCTAAAGCTCTTAACAACTGCCCTACTTCAAATAGCCATCCCCCAAAACTTAACACTCCACTGAGCTCTCTATCTTACACTGTTTCTAATTCAGTCAACACATATTAATCACTTGTACCAGCGAGGACAACAGCTCTCAAATTATGTGTGGTACAACCACAGAAGGTCCAAGACCCTTTTCAAGGGGTCTACAAGTAAAAATTAGTCCATAATAACACTAAGAAAGTTGTTTGCCTTTTTCACTCTCCTCTCATAGACAGAGATTTCCGAAGCTGATATGTGATGAGGTCACTGCCATGATGGTCAGGAAATCCTAGCTACTAAACCCAAGAGGCTGAGATCTAAGGATCACAGTTCAAAGCCAGCCCAGGCAGGAAAGTCTGTGAGACTATTCTCCAATTTTAACCACTAAAAAGCTGAAAGTGGAGCTGTGGCTCAAGTGGTAGAGTGCTCTTGAGCAAAGAAAGTTCACGGACAGCATCTAGACAACGAGTTTTAAAAAACTATATGTAATGCATACTCATTCATTCTTTCACTAAGTAGTCAATGAGGCAAGCAACAGTAATGTTTAAAAACAGTCACAGTTCTTGTGTTCATATAGCTTTTATTATAGCAAGGGAGACAGACAATGTGTAATTCAAACTGAGTTAGCATTCTGAAAAAGAAAATGGAGGTCTATAAAAAATGTGCAACAAGGCTGGGAATGTGGCTTCGTGGTAGAATGCTTGCCTAGCATCCATGAAGTTCTGGGTTCAATTTATCAGTACCACATAAACAGAAAAAACTGGAAGTGCCAGCCGTGTGCCAGTGGGTCACGCCTATAATCCTAGCTACTCAGGAGGCTGAGATCTGAGAATCTCAGTTCAAAAGCCAGCCTGGGCAGGAAAGTCTGTGAAACTCTTATCTCCAATAAACCACTTGAAAACCGGGAGTTGTATTGTGGGCTCAAGTGGTAGAGCGCTCGCCTTGAGCTGAAGAGCTGAGGGACAGCGCCAAGGCCCAGTGTTCATCCCCCATGACCAACCAAGAAAAAAAAAACAAAAACAAAAACCACTGGAAGTGGCACTGTGGCTCAAATGGTAGAGTGCCAGCCTTACACAAATGAAGCTCAGGGCTGAGAAGGTGGCTCAGTGGTAGAGCACTTGTCTTGCATGCATGAGGCTCCGATTCCTCAGCACCACATAAGCAAAAAGGAAAAAAGCCAGAAGTGGTGCTGTGGCTCAAGTGGTAGAGCACTAGCCTTGAGCTGAAGAGCTGAGGGACAGAGTTCAGGCACCGCTAACGGACCAAAAAAACCCAAAAAACCACAAATGAAGCTTAGGGATGATACCAGGTCCTGAGATCAAGATCTGGGACTGGCAATAATAATAATAATAATAATAATATTTAGCTTGTGTATGTGAGCATATCTACATGTGCACACTAATACTAGGGTTCTAACTAAGGGCCCTGAGTACTCAGGGCCCCCTCCTTTTTTTTTGGCCAATGCTGAAGCTTGAACTCAGAGCCTGGGCTCTGTCCCTGAGACTCTCTGTGTTCAAGGCTAACGCTCTACCACTTGAGCCATAGTGCCACTTCCAGCTTTTTCTGAGTAGTTTATTAAAGATGAGTCTCATTGACTTTCCTGTCTGGGCTAGCTTCAAACTGTGATGCTCAGATCTCAGCCTCCTTAGTAGCTAGGATTACAAGGGGTGAGCCACCAGCACCCAGCTTTTACTTATCTCTTATTTCCACCTTTTTGGTAGTTAATTGAAGATAAGAGTCTTATGGACATTCCTCTGCCTGTGCTGGCTGTGAACCATGATACTCAGATCTCAGCCTCATAGGTAGCAAGGATTATTGGTATGAGCCACTGGGAACTGGCTAATTTTTATATATATGTGTATTTGTATTATATATTATGTTATTGTAGTAAATGTAAAATAGACTATTATCTATGTATATTTTGTGCATTTATGATATACCTAATTTTTCTAAGAATTTCAAGGCTGTGAAGTTCAGTATTTTTCAAATCATTGCAATTCTAAAAAAAAAAATAATCTATTCAGACCCATGCACTTTAATTAAGTCCATGTTGTTCAAGGGGTCATTACATACATACTCATACCTGGTCATATTCTGAAGCACCAGGATAAAGAGGCCATCCCAGAAATAGCTCGGCTATTACACAGCCCAGGGACCACATATCGATAGCTTCACAAAATGGCAATCCAAGAATAATTTCAGGGGCTCTAGCAAAAACAAAAACATCAGGCAAAAATAAACATTATTTGAGGGAATTAACTATGTTGAAGTATTGATTGAAGTTATTTAGTAAAACTACAGTACATTTAGTTAATAAAACTGAGAACAATCTTTGGTATATAATAGTCACCCAAAACCCTTGGAGCCAGATGTGCTTTAGAACTCAGGATTTTGTTAATTATAGGGGAAACTTAGATGTCCAATAATCAAACATATTCACATTTCTGAAACAGAACACTCAGCAGGATTATTAGTTAGATAAATAAAGACCTGAAGCTGGGCACCAGTGGCTCATACCTGTACTCTTAGCTATTCAGGAGCTGAGATCTAAGGATTGTGGTTCAAAACCAGCCCAGACAGAAAAGTCCCCATGAGATTCTTATCTCTAATTAACCACTCAAAAACTGGAAGTGGAGCTATGGGTTCAAAGTGGTAAAGTGCTAGTCTTAAGCAAAAGAGCTCAAGGATAGCACCCAGGCCCTAAGTTCAAGCCCCACAGCGGACAAAAGAAGAAGAGGAAGAAGAAGAGGAGGAAAAGGAGGAGGAGGAGGAAAAAGAAGGAGGAGGAGGAGTAGGAAGAAGGAAGAGGAGGAGGAGGAGGAAGGAGAAGGAAGACCTGAAATAACCTTACAGTGGCTTAAGTCAGGTTTACCAACAAATGAGTACACCAAATATGGGAAATACTTTTCAGTTCTGAGAGCTTTCTGAATACTGGAATCACAGATAAAGGATCATTCTAGGGGGCTAGGAAGGTGGCTCAGTGATAGAGCACTTGCCTTGCATGCATGAGGCCCTGGGTTCGATTCCTTAGCACCACATAAACAAAAAGAAAAAAGCCGGAAGTGGCGTTGTGGCTCAAGTGGTAGAGTGCTAGCTTTGAGCTGAAGAGCTGAGGGACAGCGCCCAGGCCCAGAGTTCAGGCTCCAAGACCAGACCAAAAAAAAAAAAAAAAGGATCATTCTAGGGATGGCCTGGCAAGCACTGTACCACTGTTCTTTGCCCTTTGGTGTCTTACTTTGTTTCTGAGGCAGAGTCTCAACTAAACCATCCTCTTGCCTCTGTTACCAATTCTTAGTGTGCCACATCACACCAAGCCCGCTTTAAAATTATTTTTAAAATATCAACTAAATGGCATGGCCAATATCCTTTGTGATGAAAATGTTTTGAAGTCTAGATATAGACTCTATATCTAGCCTGTCTAGCTTTGAATCCTACTCCATCATTTAATAGCTTCAGGTATTTAACTTGATCTCTCTGTGCCTCAGGTCCCTCATTTATACCACAAAGAGTACCTATCATCCAGGGTTGTTGTAAAGTCTATATAAATCAGTATTTTAAAGCTTTTCAGCCACTGTCTAGCACACAATAAACATTTTATTTATTTATTTATTTTTTGCTCTGTCATGGGGCTTTAACTCAGGGCCTAGATGCTGTCCTGAGCTTTTTCTTCTCAAGGCTAATGCTCTACCACTTTGAGCCAGGGCTCCACTTCCAGTTCTCTGGTGGTTAATTGGAGCTATGAGTCTCAAGGACTTTCCAGCCTAACAGCTTCCAGCTGAAATACTCAGATCTCACAAGGCCTCCTGGGTAGGTCACAGGCATGAGCTACCAGTATCCAGCAAACATTACCTTAACTTAATGTTAGACACAATAACTGTTATTATCATTATTATATTATCATTTTTTAAATCTTGGAACTTTGTCCTTTTGTAAATATGCATTTCCACTAAAGCTTCAAAAAATATAACGCTAAGGAAAGTTAAAGAAGGTAATCCATAAACTAAAAGCCTTTCAAACATAAATGCATCCAAAATAAATTATTCTCACTTATAATAAAGGAAAGTAAAGCAAAGAGAGGCTAATTTGCCCAAAATCACAGTGAGTAAACTGCAAAGCAAGGATCTGAATTGGCAATCTGATTCCACAATTAAGTATTAGACTATCTGCCAATGAATACAAATTATATGTATAACTAATAAATCTAGGGGGCCGGGAAGGTAGCTCAGCGGTAGAGTGCATGCCTTGCAAGCATGAGACCCTGGGTTCGATTCCTCAGCACCACATAAACAGAAAAAGCCAGAAGTGGCACTGTGGCTCCAGTGGTAGAGCGCTAGCCTTGAGCTGAAGAGCTGAGGGACAGTGCCCAGGCCCAGAGTTCAGGCCCCATGACTGGCAAAAAAAAAAAAAAAAAAAACTAATAAATCTAATAGGCATGTATGGTATATTTTCACGTGGGCATTTCTCAAAGAAATTTTCTCTTAAGAAATTTTCTCTTAAGAAAAAAATAGGTTCAAAAGGGAATGGCAGGGGTGAGGATACAGTTCAGTGGAATGAGTGCTTTGTATGAGCACAGCTCTGAGTCTGATACCTATTCAACAACACAGAGAGAGAGGATGAGAAAGGAAAAAGCAAAACCAAAAACAGTAACATTATTAATACCAGGAACAGTGTTTATTACAATGCTGCGCATTGTTCTAAGTTCTTTATAAACATTGCTCAATTAATCCTTATAATCTTTTAAAAGTAGCTATCATTTGTATGTCATCAATTCTAAGCTGTATCTTTTTGTACTTTAACATTTCTGAAATGTTAAGATCTTTACAAATATGGTATATTTTAATGGTAATGCTTTTTACTTTCTGAATTGAAATTCTTGCATATGATGATTTATTTTAGCTCAATGGTAATATTTTTACTTTCTTAAGGGTATATACTGTTTCAATAGCATCTTAGATTCTGAGACAAAAGCATTACCTGCATGTCTCCATTTGACAAAGAACTTAAGAGGAAGCTACCCTATACTAAAGCAGAACCCAGGTCTGAATTTTACCATTTTCTCAAAATTTCCTTTCCTTCTTAGAAGTCAGGGAATTTGGATCTGTGAGGACATGGCTAGATTCCCTCATTTAACAGGAGGAAAACTGGAAAAAGCAGATCTCTCTATAAAGAAATCATCTAAATGGTTCTGACACAGAGCCTTGCCTAGCACACTTTTGTTTCAAATACTACATGCCTATTATGTTGTGTGTATATGTATGTTAGGACTGAGAGTTGAATGAACATGGAGAAATAAAATAAAAATACTTACCCTTATGGATATCCTCCCATGTAATTTTGTATTAATAGCCCTTGGAAAACAGGATAGATGAGGAACTCCATGGGGTCTAAAAGCTAATACTTACAATGAAATAACTGAAAACTCAGGCTGTTCAGATTACAATGAAATAACAGAAAACTCAGGCTGTTCAGATTTATTCTACTTGACAATTAAGGGAGAATTAGTATCACCAGTTTTAATAGCATCTGATAAAAACTGTGGTTTTGTTCACCAAGGAAAACAACCTTCAAAAGTAATAAGCCAGGCCCTAGTGGGAGACTCATACTTATAACCTAGCTACTCCAGAGGCTGAGAAGTGAGGATTGTGGTTCCAAGACAGCCCAGGCAGGAAAGTCCAAGAGATTCTTATCTCCAATTAACCACCCAAAAGCAGGAACTGGTAGTTGGCAGAGCTCTTGCCTTGAGTGAAAAAGCTAAAAGACAGCAACCAGGACTGGCACAAACAAAAACAAAGAGTGATAGGAATTGTTTTTCTTATTTGGTTTCATCTTGTTTCTGGAATAACAAAAGCAAGCAAAAGCCAGGAGCCACTCCTATAATCGTAGCTATTCTTGGGGCTAAAATCTAAGCATCACAGTTTGAAGCCAGCCCAGGCAGGAAAGTCCATGAGATTCATATCTCCAATTAACAATCAGAAAACCAGAAGTGGCACCTGTGCCAAAATTATCAAAGTATTAAACATATAATGAAGCTGTTCATTGGGTTCATGAGGGCTTTTTCTTCCTTAGGACCTGACTCTAGGAACAAGACTAAAGCTTTTATTTTTTCTCCCTTACCGAACATGCAAACATCATTATAGACCTGGGAATGTGACTTAGTGGTTGAGTGCTTGCCTGGCATGCAGGAAACCCTGGGTTCAATTCCTCAGTACCACATGAACAGAAAAGGCTGGAAGTGGCACTGTGGCTTAAGTAGTAGAGCGCTAGCCTTGAGCAAAAGCAGCTCAGGGGCAGTGCCTAGGCCCTGAGTTCAAGACCTAGAACTGGCAAAAGAAAAAAGAAAAAAAAAATCATTATAGCATCATTAAACTCTACATTAAGATGTAAGTCTTGAACACAATTGGGCCTCTGTTATTTCTTAATTCCTTAACATAAACCTAAGCAGGAGTGGGGCACAGCTCAGTGCTAGAGTATGTGCTTAGCAAGAATGAGCCCCTAGACTTGATCTCAGTACCGGCACCTGCTAAGCAGGCCCTCTTCCCCTGATGTACACCTCTAGAGCTGATTTTTGTTTGTTAATTTTGAGATAAGGTTTCACTACCTCTCCAGGCAGATGATGGAGCACGATTCCATTAGGATTCCTGCATTGCCAGAATAATACACAGGCACCACTGTATCCAGCTCTTGGTTAAGAACAGGTTTTGAGGACGTTTCTGCCTGGGCTGACCTCAAACTACAATCATTATAACCTCCATTCCCAAACAGCTAGAGTTACAAGTGTGAGCCAATAGTACCAGGCAAAAAAACCCACAAAAACAAAAAACCCTAGTTCTACTCCATTTGGACAAAATGAAGGTTGAGTTAGATATTACTCTATAGGTCCCTTTTCATCTCTAGCATTCTTACAACTGGGAAGTAAGAGAGATTATCTACTCAAACACAGGAAAACAAAGCTTAAAAAAAATATGGCAGTATCCACTTCAGTAGGAAAATGGTATTACTTGCTATTCTGACCATTGTGAATCTCTTCATTAAAGATACATCCCATCCTTAAAGAAAAACACTAAACAGTTCTAATTGTTATAGCTAAGTAGAAGAAACAGCCTTTTGCCTTCTCAACCTTTACTTTGTAGTAAAAAGCTCCTCCAAGGTAATAAAGATTTATTTATGCTCTAAAACTGGAAGCCAGATGAGGTTGGGATCACTTACC